CCCGGCCAGCCCCTGCCGGTTCACAGTCCTGTTCTGCCAAAGACTCAGGGAAGGAGACTTCTGCTGCTGAGACAGATTCAAGTGTCTCAGTTCCAATAGCCTCGTGCTTCAGATGGAGAAACTGAGTCCCACACCTGTGCCCACGGGGAGGAAACTGGGCGAGACCGCCAGGCTGTCTCCATGGCTCTCACTGCCGTTTCTGCTCCCTGGACTTCCAGCCGAGCCCGGGGCCCTAGACCCAACCACCACCACTTGTCCCAGTTTTATCTGCACCAATTCCCACCAGATTTCTAGTAAGCAAACTGGTGCTATAGAAATAAACACCAAGACGGCACACCAAGCCACTCAACATTCCTCTGAGTCCCAAGTCCTCTCGAGCCAGAGACTCAGGATCCCTCCTTTAAACCCCAAGTTGTGGGATCCAGACTGGCCCGTAGAGGTGGACGAAGGTCCCAAGCCATTGACTTTCACACCAACAACAGCAGCTCAACCTGACCCTCAAGATGCAGAGAAGACTGAAGAACAGCCCAGTGTTGTCTCCACGGAATCAGGGCCCTGGCACATCCTGCTTCCCACTCAAACAGGGCTGAGCGGCGTCTGCCTCCCAGGTTCCCACGTGCCACCCTGCCGGGTGGTCAGCTGGACAGGCCACCCTTCTGCTCCCTGCGGTCCAGCCGCTGGGCCCCGACCTTCAGAGCCCCCTCGGGTCCGCCCTCCACTTAGTTTAAGTGTCCCCTTCAAGGTGGACACAGGGCAACACACAGCTAAGCCATCAGCCGCAGCCAGAAGTTTATATCTCTGCAAACCTTGCTCTAAACTACTCTGTAGTCTTATTTGGAACCCAGCGGGGGCCTCGTGAATCACAGGTGTTCACAGACACGCAGAACCAACTCAGCCCTAAGTGCGTTAACAATGACGGCTTAGTTGAACAATTTAGGCTCTCCTTAAGTTTTCTTTTCTTTTTTTTGGCCACATGCAGCATGTGGGATCTAGTCCCTGATCGCAGGAATTGAACCCATGCCGTCTGCACTGGAAGCACAGAATCTTAACCCCTGGACTGCCAGGAAGTTTTCATTTTTAAGGCTCAACCATCAGTAGCCAGTGACAGGCTGGGACAGAGGAGCCCTGTGCAAGCAGACTCATTGCTGAGAGCCCCACCGTCACATATGTTTATACCACAAGAGGACCACCAGCCGGGGAACTGGAGGGGCTGGGCCGGAAGAGCTGTGTTCCCACCTTCAGACTTGGCATGCACTGGCCACTGGCCAGGCCGGCTCTCTTCCAAGACCCTCTGCCACCCTCCTAGGCCCCAGCAGGGACATCCGTGGACTCTGGGTGTTTTTGCAGCTGATCACCGGCTGGAGAGGGCCCTGTGCCCTCCGCCTGGTGGACCCTTGCCATGGATTCAGGACGCAGGTGGGACATGTGGTGACAGGACTCCCGTGAGGGGCAGGAAAAAGGTGCTGGGAACAGGCGGCTGAGGACAGAGAGGTCAGGACATCAGACATGGGGAGCGCGGCAGACGTGTGGAGGTCCCCAGTGTAGAGGTCAATCCGGGACACACCTGAGGCCTAAGTCTGGGGCAGGTCCCCAGGGGGCTCAGCTAGGATGGGGGGCTCGGCGGCTTCCTGCATATCCATTGCAGCCAGACCCAGGTCCATCACTGTGGCTTCCCGATGGAACAGTCGCCTTGGCAGCCACAGCACCGACCTCCACCCTCAGGTTCCCATCCTGGCTGCATGCCAGGCTCAGGCCTCTGGAGCTGCTGGGCCATTTGGAGTCAGCAGTGAGCAACTGGGAGAAGACACTTCCAACCTGGGAACACCGGGACATCTGTGCGTAGAGGCTGGGGGCGGTTGCTCTGTCAGTCGTTTGTGTGGAGCGTCCCCTCGTCTGCACTGACCCCCTTGGCCATAATCCATCGAACGAGAGGGCCTGACCTGCTGGCTTTCCTTGTACAGCAGGTGGTCTAACAAGGCCCAGCCTCTCCCTCCAAGAATCCAAGGGCACCAGGACCCAGGGGCTCTCCCTGCAGCCCCGGTCACTAGGAGAAAGTGCAGGCAGCCCGGTGGCCACGGCTGTCCGTGTTGGTCAGACCTGATTGCCCCTTCAGCCCTCAGCCCTCCAGCACACCCCAACTCTGGCCACTGGCCTTGGTCGCCACCTGAGTGTTAGGCCTCACCTGAGCGCTGGTCCCCACTTGAGTACTGGGCTTCACCACACAGCCTGACCCGCTGCCTGGTGCGGGGGGGGGGCGTTTCGTAAGTGGGGCCTCAGCGTGGCACAAACAACCGAGTGAAGCTGGGAAAGGTGGGCAGTATCCCCCGCCCCCTGGCAAAGAGCCTGACCCACAGTGGTTACGGACAGAATGACCTGCAACTGTGGCCTCTCAGTCACCAAACTGAGACTGTCTTTGTGGGCTGGCTTTTATAACCATGGGGCTATCACTGATGGGCTGGCTTTCAGAAGAATGGTATGTAGCCAATTGGCTGGCTTTCAGAAGGGCGGGGTTGTCACTGATTGGCTGGCTTTTAGAAGGATGGAGTTGTCACTGATTGGCTGGCATTCAGAAGGATGGAGTTGTCACTGATTGGCTGGCATTCAGAAAGGCAAGGCTGTCCCTGATTGGTGGGCTGTCAGAAAGGCAGCACTGTCACTGGTTGGCTGGTATTTGGGAGAGTGGTATGTAGCTGATTGCCTTGGTTTCAGAAGGATGGTGCTATCCCTGATTGGCTGGCTTTCAGAAGGGTTAGCTGTCCCTGATTGGCTGGCTTTCAGAAACGCTGTGTACTGGTTGGAGGCTGTTAATCATCGAGGTTCAGTTTCAATACTGTCCTGATGGCTAACAACGTGCTATGGTCAGAACAGCAGTGATATTTCCCTAGGAGGACAGGCTCTTCCTCGTCACTCACAGGCTTCCAACAAGCCTATGATAGCTTACTCCCAATACAATACTGAGTGACCTTGACCTGAAATCCCAAGAGATGCATTGCTCTAATGCATACCTGGGCCAGGTGACAACCATGACAATGATCAGCGTCTTCCTTATTGTCAAGGGGGCAGCCATGTGTGGCTGAGTGGACATGCAAGGACTCTGGGAGGAAAGCCTTGGTTCAGCTCAGCCCTGTTCTCCAGGAACCCATTTACCTGTCTGTAGATGCTGGCAGCCACATTTCTCTCTACTGGGACTGCTGCAAAGATTCAGTCAGGTCACAGAGGGCTTAGCCGGGCGGTGGGCCAGGCCACCAAGGCTGATGACTTTGAGGCGACACCATCCACAAGGAAGCAGACGTGCCTCAGCTGGTTGGCGTGTCCCAGCAGGTGTAAGAATGCATTCAGGGATTCCTACCTGGATGCCTGACTGGTCTGCCCTGAGCAGTCGTTCTTACCACAGAACATGCCTAGGAGATGTTACTTCCTCCCTCTTTCTGACAAGTTGCAGTTCAGAAGCACAGAGGACTTCAGTCCTCAGGGCCACGGGCCATGGCGTTTCTCCTGCTGACGCCTGTTTATGCTGGATGTTAGCTAAGGCTGATCACGTTTTGTACCTAACATGGACTGACATCTTTTGAATCTCTGCATATTGCTGTTTTCACCAAGCCACATGTAACACTTCAGAGTGCCAAATGCTTTTTAAAAAATAGATCTGGCTCTGCAAGTGTGCTACAGAATAACATGGATGGAATATGGCTTTTATGAAAACACAAAATGTTACTGACAAAAAAAAAAAAAATGAGAGAGAATTAAAGAATTCTCTGGAAAGAGATGTTTTGCAAAGAGACATGTGTTCCGAGCACATATTTCAGGGGAGAAAGAGCTGGAGGGGAGCCGTCCACAGGAGTCCTGGTTCCTCGGAGTCTCCAGCTAAGAGGAGGCAGCGCCAATTCCACTGTCTCTGAGGTGGGACAGGCACCTGGCTCTCCTGGGCTGTCCAGGTGTGACTGGGGTTAGGGACACAGGGGCCCTCGGAAGTGGGGCCACGCTCCAGAGCAGGTCCTCTCTGGCTCCTCACCGCCCCTTACAGACCTCGTCTCCTGTCGGCCACCTGCATCCTTGACCCTCTCCCCCTCTCCTTCTGTCGTACAGGCCGTGCCAACCTGGCTTCACATTTCAGTGGCTTTTAGTCACTTGCAAACTGTGGTTTCCACAGTCGTCCGTGCCCCTTGCTGTCCAACCTGCCGTCTCCATGTTCAGTATCCTCTCTCTCCAGACAATCCCACACCCGCAGGCTGCTCCAGGGCCCCCTCCCCCCACCGCCTTCCCGAAGCCTCCTGTCCCTGGGGCGAAGGCTTTCTCCGTTCCCCTGCAGACTCCTCTTTGCCTGGTTTCGCACTGGGCTCCTCCCGGTTTCCCCGGGGGCTCGCCCTCCAAGCACGCTCGCTCTCCTGACACCTCTAAGCTCTCTTCTCACAGCTGTCTCCTGTGCATACAAACCATCCCCCCATCTTAGAAAACAAACCAGGCAAAACTACAGGGGCAGAAAAGGCTGGGTGGCCGCCAGGGTCCAGGGCAGGGGCAGAGGATGTGTGGGTGGCCCGGGGTGTTTTTAGGAAGGGGCAGCTATTCTGTATGATGCTCTGATGGGTGTGCAGCAGCCTGCCTCTGTCAGCACCCTGGGGCTTTACGGCAGAGTGAACCCCAAAGTCGACTAGGAACTGTATCAATAGTTAGTAATCATCTACCAATGTTGGTGCAACAGTTGAAACAAATGAATGTACACCAGTGCATGTGGTTAATAACAGAAGCTACGAGAGAAGGGGGACCCTTGAGAACCCACTGTACCTTCTGCGCAATTTTGCTGTAAACCTAAAAATGCTCTAAAAAATAAAACTTTTTGAAAACAAATAAAACCCCTCCCTTGGTGACTTTCAAGTAAATGGCATAGGAAGAACAGGTGTTTAGCTCACAGAGTCAGTGGGAAGAATTTTGAGGCTGGGGATGCCAGCATCACACAGAAGCAAATGCCCTAAGCTCCGGGACTTTCTGCTAGGAAGACAGAGTCACGAGTGTGTCGAATGAGAGAAAAAGGACTGGCCCACAGCCAGTCTGTCTCTGAAAGAGCAGCAAGGTTCAGTTGGACGGTGCTGAGCATCACTCTGAGTCACAGGAGAGGTCATAGGCAGACAGACTCCTGGGTCCCCCAGACACATCACCACGTGGATGAAGCCAGTGGAAATGGGTTCCTCGGGATGAGACTGTAAAGAGGAAAAGAGGCTTGCATTAAGGCAAGGCAGAAGACGCAGAGAATAAAACAGAGCCTTGGAAGTCAAGACAGACAACGTGGACGTGGGGACGGACCACAGGGTCTCCTGTGTGCAACTGCCAGGGCCATTGTCGGCCAACAGAAGGACATCCTCAGACGGCGGGATTTCTCCAAGAATACACCCAGGAACCCTTCCTCCACACAGACTTTTCCAGAGGCTTACACAAACATATTCAAAGGGCAATCACAACTTACAGCTTGAGCATGGAAAGTCACTGAATAAAGGTTCTGCTGGGAAGCACTGTAACCAAGTAACCATGGGTCTAAAGCTAAATGTTTATTACCAACACGGCTATACACAAGGCACGCATGTTAACAGTAATTCCTCACAGCGCAGTCGGTGCTCCCATTTTGGAGGCAAAGAATGATGGAAATAAATCTAGACCACTGTCTGTAAGAACAGGTAATATTGTTATCAGCCCCCCGAAACCCAAATAGTAAATTGAAAAGTTCTCAAAACCAGTATGTATGCCAACTAAGAAATGGATATATATATATATATATATGTGTATATATATATATATATATTTATCTCAGAATCATGGGCATTCCTATATATTAGCAACAATTAGTTCTCAAAGGTAAAACAAGTTTTTGTTACTGAAAAGTGGCACACATCTGGGAATGAATCTAACAGAGATGATGTGGAACCTATTTTCCCTGAAACCTGTTCTGAGTCACACGAAGAATGTTTGGATAAACAATCTTTGGCTATCAGTTCCTGAAGATGAGGTCTCAGCGCTGAGCGGTATCTGTCCCCCCAGAATTAGTGGGCACACGTGGTGCCCTTCCAGTCCAAATTCCAATCAAAGTTTGGAGAGAACCTGACGAAACAACTCCAAATTTTATTTGAAAATAAGAAACAAGTAAAGTTGGCCTAGAAACAAAATTTCAGTGTAGACGGGATGAATAGTCGTGATGTGGAAGACAACGAACAGCGCCAGGAGTTCATGGTTGTCTCCTAAACTCCCAGATGAGCACGTCAGCAGCACTGAAGCCAGGCGGCGGCCAGGAAGCCTCCTTCTCCTCCTCCAGTTCTCTCCCTTTAGTTCCTCACCCTTTGCAGAGGGGCGCAGAGAAGGTGAGGTGGGCAGGGGACTCTTGAATGATGCCAAAGTGGGTGTAGGGGTTGAATGGTGGCCGTCAGATGATGTGTCCAAGCCCTCACTCCCAGACCCTGTGAATGTGACCTTATTTGCAAAAAGAGTGTTTGCAAAGTAACTAAGGGTCTCAAGATGAAATCGCACTGGGTGACTCAAAAGTGAAAAAGTGGAAGTACTATGCTCAGTCGTGTCCAATTCTTTGCGACCCCATGAACTGTATAGCCCACCAGGTTCCTCTGTCCATGGGATTCTCCAGGCAAGAACACTGGAGTGGGTTGCCATTTCTTCCTCTAGATGATCTTCCTGATCCAAGGATCGAACCCAGGTCTCCCTCATTACAGGCAGATTCTTTACCCTCTGAGCCACCACGGAAGGCCCAGCTGACTCAAGTAGAACCTAAACCCAACGACAGATTCTTTAGAGGAAGTGGGAGAGGAGACACAGTGAGAAGCGGAAAAGGCCACATGCAGCTGGAGAGCAGAGTGACATGGCCATGAGCCAAGGCCTCCTGGGGCCCTGGGGGCTGGAAGGACCCTCCCCCAGCACCCCTGGAGGGAGCACAGCCCTGCCAACCCTTGACTGAGGACTTCCGGCCTCCAGAGCTGGGAGAGCTTAGATTCCTGACCTGCAGAAACAAGTGTCTGTTGTTCAAAGCCACTATATTTGGGTGATGTGTTACAAAGCAATAAATAAGTAATTAAATAATAAAAAGACTCATCTAAGTTGAGCTGGACGATCCCTCACCTCCAACCAGGATCCCTCATGTGCTTTGCAGGTGACCCCTCTCCTCTAAGAGATGGTCCCACAAAGCTTGTCTAATGAGTCTCCAGAAGTGTCCATGTTAACCAGGAAAGAGCCTCAAAAGAGACATCTCAGCATCACCTCTTAACAAAATCATGGTGGAACCACCAGGGCCAAACCATTGAAAGAGCAAAGACTACCTTTACAAAGTCAGCTAACCTTCCTCAAACATGCTATTCAAAGCTGTGCTCTAATTGAGATTTTCTTCTCCAGCAGGTGATGTAGCAGGGGAGAAAGCTGACCCAGGGAAAAAATCTTGCTGTGCCAATCATTAATGCATGAAAAAAATACACAATGTTTCAGTATAAGGGAGACCCACAATAGATAACCAATAAAAGGCAACTAATACTTCACATGGTTACCCCTGATCTTAAAAAAAAAAAAAAACCTACGATCATGTTTTAAGATGCTGTGAGAGATTTCATGGTTGACCATCCTACCACTTTCTTTGGGATATAAATTCAATCTTTGTTGAAGAAAGTTTGGGTGAGTGGGTGGATGGATGGACAGATGGATGGGTGGACAGATATTTGGATAGACTGATCAATTGATACATTGATTAATTGCTTGACCACAACATGACTTTTTGCATGTCATGCAAAACGGCCGCAACATGCAGAGTTCCAGAGGACGGATGGATGGTGGCCTGGAGGAGGGACAGAGGAGCAAAGATGTGCACAGGCCATAGCCTGTGCGGAAAGGGCCACACATCAGCAACCAAACCCCAAGAGGCAGTTCCACTTGCCCTCAGCAGTAAGCTGGGCCTACAGGACCAGGCCCCAGGAGAGCTGACCCCTCACTGTTCCCCTGTCCCCTGAGCCATCTGTCTAGAGTCTCCTAAAGCCACAAGGGTGTCCTGGGGACAAGGACCTCAGGGACCTCCCTGACCAAGGTGCAGAGAGCTTCCCAGAAGTGGTGGTGGCTGATCCCCAAGACGATGGCAGAGAGAGACAGCCCAGCACACCCAGGAGGAAGACAGACTGAGACCCGGGACGTCTGGGGCCTCCCGGGAGCCCGAGGGGGTGCCGATTAATGGGTCCTGCCTCCACTGCGCCAGGCGTCCATCCTCCAACTCCCCTGCTCTCTGCCCATACTGAGAGGGATGTGTGTGCCTCCTCCTGGGACTGGGACAGGGAACAGTGACAGGGCCAAGCTCTCCAGGCTAGGGGGTGAGGGGGGCAAGGGGAGGCGTGCACACAGCTTGGAGGAGGCTCAATTCGGGATGGCATGTTTGCTGGGGAAGGGGCCACGGGGTGAAATTTGAGCTCATTTCAAAAAGATCTTAGGGTGGAAATGCATCATCTTTCAATTAAAATTTTACTGAATTTTCACTTGAATTTCCCCATCTGCTGCCTTCATTATGCCTAACCCTGAACCTCGCTTGAAGCCATCTGTGTTCTTATCTCATTAGACTGGGGTTATTTGTGTTTGTCCGATTCCAGCAGGAAGCAGCGAGTCCCTCGCAGGGAGGAGCCGAGTCAGGGACGTTCTGGATCTTCTGAAGCTGACAGATGCCTGTCACTCCACAGGGTCTCGGAAAGGGCCTGGTCGAGCAGACGCTCCGTCAGTGGTGAGGGTGGACCGGAGCTCCTCCATTAACTGGCCTTGACTCAGAAGCAGTGGCCCCGTGACCTGGGGCTCCAGATGGATGCCTCGCTCCCAGAGCCCCTGAAAACGGATGGGCCCCACGCTGAAGTGAGGGGCAGGGGTCCTTACGTGTGTGCAAACACACATTCACACTCACTGCCCCAACCAGAGCCCAGGGCTGACGGAGGTGACCCCAGATCATCCCTCACAGCACACTTGGCACACAGTAAGCGCTCAGTAGATGCTCCTGGTATGTTAGTGAGGGGAAAGCCTACAGCCCGGAGCTTGGAGCTTGCTCAATGGAAGGGAGCGGCTGGGAACTGCCGGTCTCGCTAGCCTGGCACTTCCCGGAGCACAGGACACAGTCGGCAGGCACCCTGGTCCCCCTCCCCTCACCCACTCGGGCTGTCGCTTGCCCCGCGGGCGCTGCTGGCTCACCTGTTCCCTGGGGGCCCCGCAAGGAGCAGACTCGCTAAAGAGAGCCAGTCACGTTCCACCTATAAGTCATGAGATTCTGGGTCAGAAGCAGAGAAAACAGGCGTCCTAACTGCGCATGACCAGGCATCGTGGCCATAGGAGGGGCCAACCAGCCACTCACAGGTCAGCACAAGCCATGCCTGCAAAATGCACATGTTATCCAGAGGGAGGAATCTCTGGAAGTCCTGGAGAAACATCTCCAGCGCTGCTGGGCATGTGGTTTACCAGCAGGCAGCATCCGGAGCCTGAGGCATTCATCTGAGGCCATGAAAATGTGTGCGAGCCCCGGGTGTGTGAGCAGACAGTGAAAGCGCAGCCTAGAGCCGAAGGGCCCCAAGACCACCCTGATGCCCCCTCCCCCTGCCAGCCAGCTCCCCCAGATGCTGTGGGCCTGACTCCCAAGCCCAGCAGCCGCTCCCTGCTCGCCCGCAGCCCGGCTCCCATAGACATACACAGGCCTGTGTGCACACGGGCACACGCGTGCATGCACGCAGCACGCATCAAGGTCAGGCCTCTGACAGACACAAGTGCATCTCCCCCGCCCCCAGGAGGCCTGCGCTGCCATCGCCCCACCTCACAGCGAGGCGGTGGGGAAGTGGGGCCGCTGAGAGGCCCGCCCTGCTGCACAGGGTCCCCGCCGCTGCTCTGCACGGCGGGTGTCCGGCAGCAGCCGCGGTCAGGGGTCCAGTGATGGGCCTGTGGTCCCAAGCTCAAGTCCAGCCAACTGCAGGGCTAGATGTCTTCCCAACTCCCTCTCCCCCATCTCTGCCCCCTCAACATGCACACAGGCACGCATGCATATTGCTAACTCAGAAAACTGACTCTGGAGAAGGGACAAGAAATGACGGTATTTAAATCACAAATGCCCATCAGTCCAAAGAGAAAACACTTGACCCCCCCACCCCAGAGTAGGAAAGACATCATCCAAGAATCAAAGAGCTTCCAAATTGCCCTGCTCTTTCCATCAGCTCGACTTTGTGTCCTGGTCTGCCTGCATCTCGCACCACAAGTGTTAAGGGGTCGTCACTGTAGACCACGGGGCCGGAGGCTCCAGATGGGGAAGCAACAGGCCACGTACAATAGGAGGTGGCTCTAGACACAGAAGGGCCTGCGGCAGGTGGCCAGAGAGGTGGGGCCCACTTGAGTGTGGACAGGGATGGGGGTCCTGAGCCCGAGAGCAGGCCTGGGCCTCACCGTCCCCCAAGCCCTGGTCACCTCTGTCAGATCAGCACGCAGTCTAAGGATGATGCCTGGGAGAGCGGGGAGGGCCGCAGGCTGGATCCTGGCCCCGGGCCTTGGTCCCCCATTGCCCCGAGAAACCAAAAGTAATTTCAGGTTTTGGCTAAAGAAACGCTCACTAATTATGGAAGCAGAGAGACTGTTTCTGTTCTCAGTAGGAGGCATATTTACTTCTTTGCATGAAGGTATTTCTAAACACAGGTAATTATAAAAATCATTACCCCCCCAAACCAGCGTGGGAAACCATATGGTCGGTAATACATTCATAAATAATTACCCGGCTCCAACTCTCTGAAATAATATTTCCTATTTGTTTTATGTCTTTCTGCAGAAAATAAATCTTCCACCGTGTTCTCTCGTTTGGGAAACAGGTTGGCGGCAACTCTGGATACCAGTAGAGACAGGAAGTCAGGGAGAGGGTCTCAGCTCCCCCTCCGGACCCGGAGGATGTGCCCCCACCCTAGGCCTGCAGGCCCACCTGGGGTGGTGCTGAGTCCCTGGACACCCAAGCATCCTGGCTCACCCCAGTGGAGGCCCTGCAACAGGACTAGCATGGGGCTGCCTCTGTGGGGGCCCTCTGCCCCATGTGGGCCGAACTCAACTTCTCTCCTTCTGACTTGTCGAGACCCCTCTGTCCACTGTTCCATGGACAACTCCTGTTTGGTATCAGGCAGATTTCAGGTCCAGCCATGCACAATGAGCCCGGCGAACCCACGCACGATGAGCCCTGTGAACCCACGCATGATGAGCCCCAGTCCTGCCGGAGGGGCCTGTCCAGGCCGGTGGGCGAGGGCCAGGTTAGGCCCAGGGAGAGTCAGCCAGTGGGGCCTTGGTGACTGTCCGCCCCCTCCCTGCTTCCCGGGAGCCCCGCCTCGGGCTCTGCTTTGGCACGGACCCTCAGTGGCCCCATCCTGCCTTCCTTCCACTCCTCCAGGATCTCTGTGTTCTGGTGTCTTTTGCGTGAACTTAGAAAGTAAACCCCGCTTGTAACTCTGCTAGGGAGGGCATGAAGCAGTCTGTGTACTGTGGATGCAGATTCTAACAACCGTATAAAGCTATCTCAGCCTGCTTTTCAGGGAAAGAGTCTCCCTGCAAAAGCTCTCCCAGTCCTCGGGCAATGGTGCTCCCTGTAGCACCATCACAACCGGGAGTTTGGGGTTCTGTTCACTCGCACAGGGAGGCTGGCATCACTGCCTGTCACCTCACTGGTGGCAGTGCCCCATCCAGGAGTTTAAGGCGCTCCCAGAGGGAAGGGGGTCCAGGGGGCACTTGGAAGGACCCTGGCAGCAGACAATCCTTTTCCACACACAGCATCCCACCCCCTTTGGCTCTCATCTCACCGGGCAGATCCACTGATGGGTTCAGTCTTTCACTCCACGAATGTCCAGAGAGCAAATGTGTGTGGGGGGAGGGGGCGGAGGCTGGGCTGGGCTGGGGGACCCCCAGGTGTCAGTTCTTTGCCCTTAGCCTCCAGCAGATTCTCTCTGATGCTCAACGAGGAAGCATCTTGTCACACCTGTGGCTGCTGATTCAGTGTCCTAGAGATCGCATGACTCTGCTTTTCCCAATCTTGCTGTATTTCCAGAAAAGTCCTTCAGTGATGATGCCCTGATTTCCGTGCTGTTTTGCTTCTTCTGAAGGAGCTGCTGCTGTTTGCACTTGGGCTTTCCAGGCTCTAGCCTCAGGGCGCTCCAGAATCCTGCTCCCTTGTTTAAACGTATTCTCATTCCTTCTTGATCTGGGTCCATGGCCCAAGTTTATCTTCTGGTTCACTCACTGAAGTGTGGGCACCGTCAACCTGGTTCTTGTGACTTGCATGCTGACAGTAACGACAGTCCAGCAAGGCACCTTTAGGTCCAGACTCTGGTCCTGAGCAGACACTCCTGCATTTCTTTCCAGTAAACCACTCCCATCCTCCCAGCCCTCCTTGTCAGAGAAACATTGAGAGTAAGAGTTGCTGGTTGTAAGTTCCAGCTTACTGTTTTTTTCCTCTGTTTTCAGGAAAAACCGTTATGTTAATCCAGAACATTCTCTGTGCTTATTCGCACTTCACTCCTTGATACATACATTCCTTCCTTCATGCATATTGCCTTGCTGGGTCCCATGGTAGACAGGTTATGTAACATACACGGAGAATGCTCAGCGCTGTACCGAACACAATGGGTGTAACTGGTGATCGCGACCAAGAAAGTTGTACCATTTGATCTAATAGCTGTTCTAACATAACGGATGGGTTTCTCAGGTGGCGCTAGTGGTAAAGAACCCGCTTGTCAATGCAGGAGACATAAGAGATGTTGGTTCGAACCCTGGGTGGGGGAAGATCCCCTGGAGGAGAGCAGGGCAACCCACTCCAGTATTCTTACCTGGAGAATCCCCTGGACAGAGGGGCCTGGGGGGCTGCAGTCCACAGGGTTGCAAAGAGTCGGACACGAATGGAGGGACTTGGCACAGCACATAGTGATGTAACTGAAGGCTAACTCCTCAACGTTATTGTTCATCTGCCCCTCCAGGGACCCCGGGTCCACCAGCCAAAACCCTCCTTGGAGTAGGCTCTCATGCACAGGCTGCCTTTCGGGAACTGTGGGTTTCTCAGGACAAAACAGCCACAGCAGAAAGTTCTGGAGAGAGAAGAAAGCTGACGTTGGCCTTGATCTTTGGCCAAGAACCCAGAGCCCCACTGGGCAGACTCCAGCAAGGGTGACTGACCAGAATGCCTGCAGCCTCCAGCAGAGTAAAGGCGTCACCGCCAGCAGCTCAGAGGAGCACACCCACGAGGCGCTGGGAAACGGCCGCCAGTGTGTCCCCTGCACACGGAGGCACCCTCTGAGCATCGCCCTTGACATCTGCGAACCTTGGCCCCGTCAGAACGGTGCCCTGAGGTGAGGAATTCATGAAGCCTAAATCGCAGACTTCTTATTTAGAATGCTTTATAGTGAATACATGACAGGTGTAAAAGCATGCGGGAAAGGTCCTTTTTTAAAAAACTTCTATTGAAGTATAGCTGATTTACAGTAATTCAGCTTTATACATATGTAGATATTTGTTGTTGTTGCTGTTGCTTAGTCTCTAAGTCGTGCCCCACGAACTGTCACCCACCAGGCTCCTGTCTGTGGGATTCTCCAGACAAGAATACTGGAGTGGGCTACCATGCCCTTCTCCAGGGGGTCTTTGTGATCCAGGGATCAAACCCACATCTCCTGCATGGCAGGCAGGTTCTTTACCACTGTATCACCTGGGAGGCCCAGATATATGTACGTATATACACACACATGTCTCCACTCTTTAGATTCTTTCCCCATGCAGGCCATCACAGAGTATTGAGCTGTATTCCTTGCACTATACAGTAGAGTCAGGGTTAGCATTTTTATATTTGATGACTTCTTCCTGCCCTGGTTGCTTCTGGGCAGGCTCAGGTCAGTGTTGACACTTGTGACAAACAAGGACGCCCACAGCTGACTCTCCCTCTGGAAATGCTGATGGTGACATCAGACCAAAACCATCACTGATGCGGTACCCAGGTTTGCCCTCCAAATGCCACCCAGCATTCATTAAATGGTGCATCTGATGGCAAGCTCATGCTACATTGCGGTTGCTAAGAAAATGACTCATGCGTATGAAAAGGAGGGTCTAAATAGCAATCCTTGGTTATTTTCAATGTAGGATGAACAATACGTCTACCAACACGGAGATCATCAGGGAAATAAACTGACTTATACCCTTACATATATTCACCATGGCAATGACTTGGCTCACATGTTAGGTATTTTATATCAACGGGACAAAGTTCATGTAATCACCGTAAATGTGCATTTTACTAACACTGATCCACTGAAAACCCCAGACTGACACGGCAGGTCAGGAGACCTCATGATCCCTGGAGCACAGAGACCTAGTTGATTAAAAACTATATTTATAATAATTTAGTGTGTTGGTACCATTTTTAAGCTTCATTGAGGTAAAACTGACAAATAAAAATAGCATTTGAAAAGGCAAAAAGATATGACACTGAAAGCTGAGCCCCCAAGGTCAGTAGGTGTCCAATATGCTACCAGAGAAGAGCTAAGAAACAGCGCCAGGAGGAATGAAGAGGCCGAGCCAAAGCAGGAACGACGCCCACCTCTGGATGTGTCTGGTGGTGAGAGTACAGTCCGAAGCTGTAAAGAACAATATAGGAACATGTTCCATAGGAACATGGAACGTTACATCCATGAATCAAAGTAAATTGGAAGTGGTCAAACAGGAGATGGCAAGAGTAAACATCGACATTTTAGGAATCAGTGAACTAAAATGGATAGAAATGGGAGAATTTAACTCAGATGACCATTATATCTACTACCGTGGGCAAGACTCCCTTAGAAGAAATGGAGTAGCCCTGATAGTCAACAAAAGAGTCCAAAATGTATTATTTGGGTGCAATCTCAAAAATGACAGAATGATCTCTGTTTGTTTCCAGGGTAAATCATTCAATATCACAGTAAACCAAGTCTATGCCCCAACCACTAATGCCGAACCATTTTCTGTCTTTTTTTCCTCCCATGGTGAGAACACTCATCCACTCAGCGAACTCCACGTACACAATACAGTATTGTCAACAATAGTCACCAGCCTGTACACGAGCTCGCCAAACCCATCCTGCATAACTGCAACTTTGCACTGTTGAGGAATAGCCCCAAGCTCCCTCCCCCAGGCCCCAGCAACCACCCTTCTCCTCTCTGCTTCCATGAGTTGGATTGTTTCAAATTCCACAAGTAAGTGGCGTCATGCAGGGCTTGTCCTTCTGTGCCTGGTTTATTTCCCTTACCATATTGCCCTCCACATTGCCATCCATGTTGCCACAAAGTGCAGACTCTCCTTTAAGGCTGAGTAACATATATATATATATACACATATATATGTTATTTTGTACATATATTATATATATACACATAAATACATTACAATTTTCTTTATCCACTTATTTTTCAGCAAACATTTAGACAGCTTTTTATCTTCTCTAAAAACATCTTGGCTTTTGTGAATAATGCTTCAGTGAGCATGGGAGTGGAGACATCCCTAAGATCTTGATCTCCTTTTTGGATAAAATCTTAGAAGTGGAACTACTAGATCATATGGTCATATAGTAGCTCTATATTTTTAATTTTTTGAGACTCCTCCATACTGTTTTCCATAGCGCCTGCACTAATTTGCATTCCCACCAACAGGGCACAGGGGCTCCCTTTTCTCTTCAATCTTACCAACACTTGTTACCTTTTACCTTTCTGATAAAAGCTGTCCTAACAGGTACAAGGTGATATTTTCTTGTGGTTTTGCTTTGCATTTCCCTGATGATTAGTGATGTTGAACATCTGTTCATTTACCTGTTGGCCACTTGTATGTCTTCTTCAGAGGAATGTCTCTTCAGGTCCTTTGTCCATTTTTAAATTAAGTATTTGTCTTTTGCTACTGAATTATATAAGTTCCTTATAAATTTTGAAGATTAATCTCATCATATGTATAGCTTGCAAATATTTTCCTCTCATCGTAGGTTGCCTTTTCACTCAATCGACTGATTCCTTTGCTGTACAGAAATATTTTAGTTTGATGCAATCCCACTTGTTTATTTTTGTTTTTGTCTGTGTTTTGGGGATCATATCCAAAAAAATCATTGCCAAGACCAATGTTATGAAGTTTTTCTTTGATGTTTTCTTCTAGTAGTTTTATAGTTTCAGGTTTTATGTTTATGTCTTTAACCTATTTTGAGTTGATTTTTGTATAGGGTGACATAAAGGTTCCATTTCATTCCTCTACATGTAGAAATCCAGTTTTCTCAACATAGTTTGTGAAGAGACTATGCTCTCCCCAATGCATGTTCTTGGCACCTTGCTAAAGGTGAAATGACCTTAAATGCATGGGTTTACCTCTGTGCTATCTATTCTGCTCCATTAGTCTACATGTCCGTTTTCACACAAGCACCAGGCTGTTTTGATTACTGCAGCTTTGCAATATATTTTGAAACCAGAAAGTATGTCTCTATCTTTGTTCTTCTTTCAAAAGATTACTTTGGCTAATCTGGGTCTTTTGTGGTTCTATATGGATTTTAGGGTGGTTCTTTCTGTTTGTAAACAAGGATGCCATTAGGATTTTGATAGAGACTGCACTGATTCTGAAGATCACTTTGAGTAGTATGGACATTTTAACAACATTGATTCTTCTAACCCATGAACACAGAATATCTTCCCATTAATTTCCTTCATCAGGGTTTTAAAATTTCCACTCTACAAGTCTTTCACCTCTTTGGTTAAGTTTATCCTGAAGTATTTTACTTTTTGTTGCTACTATCAAAGAGATTATTTTCTTAATTTCCCTTTTAGGTAGTTCACTGTGTACCAAAATGTCACTGATTTTTGTATGTTGATTTTTGTATCCTACAACTTTATTAAATTTATTAGTTCTAATAGTTGTTTGAGTTCTAACAGTCTTCACAGTTTTCTACATGTATGATCATGCTATCTGAAAATAGAGATAATTTTAAGTCTTCTTTTCTGGTTTGGATTTCTTTTATTTCTTTTTCTTGTCTAATTTCTGTGGCTAGAATTTCCAGTAGTAGTATGCTGAATAGAAGAGATGAGAGTAGGCATTCTTTCCTTGTACCAGGCCTTAGAAGAAAACCTTTTAATTTCCCCATTGATTATGATGTTAGTTGTGGGCTTTTTAAGTGTAGGCCTTATTGCATTGTGCAAAACTCCTATATCAACTTTGTTGAGATTTTTTCATAAATGAATGTTGATTTTTTTCAAATACTTTTTCTGCATTTACTGAGATGGTCATGTGATTTTTATCTTCCATTCTGTAAATGTGATGTTATCACAGTGCTTGATTTATGTATGTTGAACCATCTTTGCATCCCAGGGGTAAATCCCACTTGGCCATAGTGTGTGATCCTATTAGTGCACTGCTGGATTCAGCTTGCTAGTATTGCACGGAGAATTTTTACATCACTGTTAGTCAGGGATATTGGTTATCAGTGGCCTTAAGGATTTCCCCATTCAATCAAGAAGTCAAAGAAAAAATTCCTCCCAAGATTTATATGCAAAGCTTCAACCAGTCACACTGGTGGGTCAGAAGACTGTCCTCTACAGAAACCTCCCATACAGGATACACCCCACTTCATGGCCTGACAATACTTCATGTGGGGATCATTGGTCAAAGTCCTCCCCTCTGATTAAAACCTCAGCTGCCTGACACAGACTTCCTGGTGGTAACTGGAATCACTACACCACTATTCTGGGCTTCCCTTGTGGCCCAGCTGGTAGAGAATCTGCCTGCAGTGCAGAGGACCTGGGTTCGATCCCTGGGATGGGAAGATCCCCTGGAGAAGGGAAAGGCTATGCACTCCAGCATTCTGGCCTGGAGAAATCCACGGATAAATAGATTCAAGGGATTAGATCTGATAGAGTGCTTGAAGAACTGTGGACACAGGTTCGTGACATTGTACAGGAGACAGGAATCAAGACCATCCCCAAGAAAGTGAAATGCAAAAAGGCAAAATGGCTGTCTGAGGAGGCCTTACAAACAGCTGTGAATAGAAGAGAAGCGAAAGGCAAAGGAGAAAAGGGAAGATTCCCATTTGAATGCAGAGTTCCAAAGAAGAGCAAGGAGAGATAAGAAAGCTTTCCTCAGCGATCAATGCAAAGAAATAGAGGAAAACAACAGAATGGGAAAGACTAGAGATCTCTTCAAGAAAATTAGAGATATCAAGGGAACATTTCAAGCAAAGATGGGCACAATAAAGGACAGAAATGGTAGGGACCTAACAGAAGCAGAAGATATTAAGAAGAGGTGGGAAGAATGCACAGAAGAACTATACAAAAGAGATCTTCATGACCCAGATAACCACGATGGTGTGATCACTCACCTAGAGCCAGACATCCTGGGATACAAAGTCAAGTCGGCCATAGGAAGCATCACTATGAACAAAGCTAGTGGAGGTGATGGAATTTCAATTGAACTATTTCCAATCCTGAAAGATGATGCTGTGAAAGTGCTGCACTCAATATGCCAGCAAATTTGGAAAACTCTGCAGTTGCCACTGGAAAAGATCAGTTTTCATTCCAATCCCAAAGAAAGGCAATGCAAAGAATGTTCAAACTACCGCACAGTTGCACTCATCTCACATGCTAGCAAAGTAATGCTCAAAATTCTCCAGGTCAGGCTTCAACAGTCCATGAACCGTCAACTTCCACATGTTCAAGCTAGATTTAGAGAAAGCAGAGGATCCAGAGATCAAATTGCCAACATCCATTGGATCATAGAAAAAGCAAGAGAGAGCTCCAGGATAAAACATCTACTTCTGCTTTACTGACTGCGTGAAAGCCTTTGACTGTGTATATGACAACAAACGGTGGAAAATTCTTCAAGAGATGGGAATACCAGACCACCTTCCCTGCCTCCTGAGAAACCTGTTAGCAGGGTCAAGATGCAGCAGTTAGACTCGCACACGACCGACTGAACTGAAGTCACCATTCCAATCATTAAACTGATGTTTAACATGCTGCGCTCAGTCACTCAGCCATGTCCAACTCTTTGCGACCCCATCAGCTGTAGCCCGCCAGGCTCTTCTGTCCATGGGATTGTCCATACAAGAACACTGGAGTGGTGCAATCATAGACCCAGATTCCTACTCCTCTGTTTGCAGAGACATTCTCATTATATTACACTTCCCTCCTTTGCAAATAACTTCCTTGGTTCTATTTGTCCAGTCATTCTTTCCTCCCTTCAACAATTGCATGTGCCAGGGTCTAGGCCATGGGGACAAAGCTGACCCACGGGCCAGGTTCCTTCTCGCAGGTGACTCTGCCGCTGTACGGGAGACAGACAAGGCCACAGAGCCAGGGAGTGACCCGAGCTGGGAGGGGCCGAAATAAAGGCCGGGAGGCGGAGGACGGCAGCGGGCACGGAAGCAGCAGGATCCGTGGGTGTGAGAGGAGACAGGCCTGTGACTACAGAGGCCAGGACGGGGCGCACCTGAAAGATGACGGATGGAGCCGGAGAGCAGGCGGGAAGTGGGGGGGCACAGCAGGCGAGGCCTTGGTGTGCAACCTGGGAGTGAGGTGATCTGCTCTAAGCTTTTTAAAGACCTATCCTATGGAAAACAATATAGCGGTTCCTACAGAAAACAATGTGGCAATTTCTCTAAAGATTAAACAGAATTACCGTGCGATCCAGCAATTCCACTTTGGGGAAAAATACCCAGAATAATTGAAAGCAGGAGCTCAAGTATTTGCACACCTAGATTTACAGCAGCATTATTCACAATAGCCAAAGGGTGGAGACTAGCTAAGTGTCATTGGTAGATGAATGAAGAAGCAAAATGTGGTCCGTCCATAGAATGGAAGTGTGGTTCGGCCTTAAGAAGAAGGAGACTCTGACAGCTGCGACGACGTGAATGAGCTTCAAGGACGTATATGCTAAGTTAAATAACCCAGTCACAAAAGGACAGATACTGTGTGGTCCCATTTATAGGAGGTCCCTAGAAGAGTCAGAGACACAGAGACAGAGCTGAATGGGGATTGTCAGGGGGTCGGGAGTGAGTGTATTTAGTGGAGACAGTTTCATTTAGGAAGACAGAAACTGGGGTGGATGGTGGTGACACTCACTCAACAACGTGAATGTGCCCTGGTCCCACAGAACTGTGCGGTTAAAGCGGTTAAGAGGGTGAAGTCTCTGTTACGTGTCATTTTGCCACAATTTTAAAAAACTACATTTAAAATGTCCAGTCTTGCTCCTAAGCAAGCAATGGGCTGGAGAGGGAAGCATGCAGCCGGGAGCCAAGTCAAGGGCGTCCCCGGGTCTAGACGAGAGATGCCGGGGCCAGAAGGTAGCCTGCATGAGGCCCCGCGGGCAGCCAGGGTGGCCAGAGGCTGCACAGCCTTTGGAGACAGGACCTGGGTGGGAGGTGGGGCTCGGGAGAGCGGGGGGGGGCGCCCCCTGGGTGCGGGGCTGAAGGCCCCGTGCTGTCAGGCGGGGATGCCGGGGACACTGAGCTTGGGCGTGAAGGTGAGGGCTCGGCTGGGACCCTGCCGAGGGCCCGCGGTGTCTGAGAAAGGCCGCCGGAGCCAGACCAGCGGCAGGCGGGTCCCCTCGGGGCGCTTCTCACCAGGCACGTGCTGACATGGCCAAAAGCACGTCAGCCTGATGGGAACAGCGGACACATAACTGGGAAGGAAGGCATTTTCCTGCTGCTGGAAAATATTTATACAGCACTTTCAATGAAAAGACACACAGACATTCTATTTTAAGGCATAATAGCGCAGGAGGAGGGAGACGCACCAAGCTGACGTGGGAAAGATAACAAGGCTGCAGGCATCGAAGGACCCAGGAAGTCGTGACTCTAAAGAGCAAAGGCCTCCGAGGGGGATGAGCCCAGGTTGGTCTGGCAAATCCAAGCGCCGGACTCACCAGTCCATGCTTTGCCTGTTGTCCCCTGATCCGACTTCACTGACTTGCTCCCGTAACATCCTGTTTGTCAACAGCAAGTGAGATGCAAGAGGACATTCTCGTGGGGGGTTAAAATCAGCCCTTCGAGATGTGTATGCATGTGAGGATTTTGCCTGTAAAACAGAATGACCTGGAGCCTCGGTCGGCAGGCAGAATACAGGGGACATGGTCCTGCTCCTCTCCCGTCTTGGGGGTCACACGGGGCCCTATGGCCAGCCTGCCAGGGGCAGCTCGGAACTTCAAGAGTTTCTCTCTCACTGAATGGAGGCCGGAAATCCAAACTAAAATGCCCATGGGGCCTCCCGCCCGCCGAAGGCCCTGGGAGAGGATCCTTTCCGCCTCCTCCAGCCTCTGGGGAGGCGGTCCTCAGTCTGTGGACACACCCCTCTGAGGCCTGTCTTGTCATCACATGGTGATCTCCCTCTGTGTCTGTCTGTCTCTCTCCTTAAGACGGCACCGGTCACAGAACTTAGGACCCACCCTCACGCAGGATGACCTCATGTTAACTTGATAGTCAAAGCTATGGTTTTTCCAGTGGTCATGTATGGATGTGAGAGTTGGACTATAAAGAAAGCTGAGTGCTGAAGAATTGATGGTTTTGAATTGTGGTGTTGGAGAAGACTCTGACTGCAAGGAGATCCAACCAGTCTATCTTAAAGGAAATCAGTCCTGGGTGTTCATTGGAAGGACTGATGCTGAAGCTGAAACTCCAATCCTTTGGCCACCTGATGCGAAGACCTGGCTCATTTCAAAAGACCCTGATGCTGGGAAAGATTGAGGGCAGGAGGAGAAGGGGACGACAGAGGAAGAGATGGTTGGATGGCATCACCGACTCCATGGGCACGAGTTTGAGTAAACTCCAGGAGTTGGTGATGGACAGGGAGGCCTGGCATGCTGCAGTCCATGGGGTCGCAAAGAGTCAGACACAACTGAGCGACTGAACTGAACTGATATCTGCAAAAACCTTATTTCCAAAGAAGTCATATATAAAGGCACTGGGGGCCAGGACTTGACCTGTGTCTTCAGGAGACACAGTTTAACCCACGACGGTGACCCACCCAGACAGTGAGGCCCACAGAGTATCGAGTGTGAGTGCCAGATGCAGCGTTGGTTCTAGAAGAAGAGTCCTGAAGGAGCGATATTTTCTTAAATAAGACACCAGGCTCGATGGCCAAAGATGATAACAGATGACTGTGTCTCTGGCTGGAGAATCATTTCTGCATGACACTGGTTCCAGGAATTAGCTTTTAGATTTTGTGAAATCAAGCAGATCCTTTCATGTCAAAAAAATATCTGTGACTGCCTGCTGTATGCTGAGAGCAGAGGCAGGCATCACGGGGCAGGGCCAGCCCGAGACCACATGTGGAAGGAGAAGGGCCGAGTGCGTTCCTGGCAAGAGGAAGACTCTGCAGGGCTTTCCTGGTGGTCTTCACGGACGAGAATGAACCGTCTGGGGCGACCCACGGCCAGACTTCCTCAGGGGAAATCGGAACGTCATCACGGATGCTTTTCACGACAGCGAACATTCACGCCTGCCCGGTGAGTTCATTCGGTTCCAAGTTGCATAGCCAAAGAAAATAACAACAAAGCAGGAAAACGCGGCAGAGGCAGTGGTGTTGGCTCTCCCAGCCTGGCGGGGTGCCCCCAAGGCTGTGGCCGGCCTGGCGCTGCGTGGGGGTCAGGAGGGGACGCTGGGCTAATCCGGGCCAGGCCAGCGGTGGGCTCAGGGCCGCCTGCCCCTCCAGCCAGAAGCCTCCTCCTCTGTTCCAAGAGTAGGTCTTTCCCAGGGAACTTATCTTTGACAACAGGGGCTCAAAAAGGTTTAAAAGAAAAAAGCAAAGGTTGGAAGTGACCATGTGGATGGGGGCTAGGTGAGCAGCTTGTTGATAAGCTCGGCCTCTTACACTATTCTTCCAACCTTTGCACACGTGGCGTGTGCTGGGAGGTGCCTGTGGCCATGTGCCCCACAGGGCAGAGACTGCCTGCCCTCCCCACCCCGTCTGAGGGGAGAGCCCCTGCCTGGCCCCTTGGGAGGCGGAGGACGGGCCCAGCCCCTGGAAAGAGGAATCTTCCTAGAGGATAAAAACCCACCTAGAAAATGATGCTAGGAAGCCCCGCAGCACTGACCAGGAGGGCTGGGAAGTGGGGGCCCGAGCCTTCCCTGGGGGCAGAGAGGGACCCCGGGGGCTCCCAGATAGAGACCCCAGTGCGCGGGGTTGGGGGCTGACTCAGCCAGAGGGCCTGCATCATTGCGGCCAGGGCCAGGCGGGGGCCTCCCGCAGTGCAGCGGCTAGCCCTGCCCGGAGCGCCGAGGTCAGGGCCTGAGGACTTGCATTTCCCACAAGCCGGGTGGCGCCGATGCTGGAGGTCCGAACTCCACCTTGGGAAGCTCGGCGCCCGTTCCTGGGGTGGGCCGCTATGAGGTTTCATCAGCCACGTGTTGAGCAGACTCTGTGGTGTGCATGCTACCTGCAGCGGGAAGTGGGGGAGAATTCCTCGGGAGCCTGGAAAGGCTGGTGGGGCTACACGACCCCAGCTCAGAAGCCCTCTCTCGCTCCTCCGTCCCCTGTCCCCAGCAGAGGGGACAACAGCTGCATCTGTCCTTGTGCACGGAGGGCAGGGCCTCATGCAGAGACCCCCTCCCAGGGACAGGACTCCCCCCTAAACACCACCGCCCACCCCCCAGGCCCCTGCAGAGGGCAGGGACGATTCCGTCTGGGGCCCGAAGCTAACACTGTCCCCAGAGGCCAAGAGGGAGGGAGGAGAAGCTGCAGGGCCCTGGGGGCGGCTCAGAAACAGCAGGGCCGTGACAGCCCCTACCCAATGTCTCGCCCGCCAAGACCGCTTCTAAATGCCCAGGCCCCAGGGACCCCACCATCAGCCCCCAAGCTCTGCCACTCAAGCCTGACCTCAGGTGGGCCTGAATTTCCTGCAGGCCCCCCAAGTTTCCAAACCCTTGAGATATCAGGGGTTTAGGCTGCTTTTTTAGAAATTAAAATGAAATTCCCAGAACATCAAATTAACCATTTTTAAATGTAGCATTCCGCATCATCTAGCGTGTTCATAGGGTCCTGCAACCAGCGCCTCCATCCAGTCCTAAGGCCGCTCACCCTAAAAGGAACCTGCGTCCCACCAAGTAGACCCTGCCCACCTCCGCCCCCAGTCCGAAACAGCCACGGTCTACCTTCCGTCCGTGGACTTGCCTGACCTGACATCTCACAGGCACAGGGTTGTAACACATGTGCCTTCCATGTCTGGCGTCTTTCACTGAGCCCCGTGTTTTTGAGGTCCACCCGCCGTGCGCCCTGCATCACCCCTTCCTGCGGCTGGTGGTCTTCCTCTGTCTGGAACAGCACGTTGAGGTCTTCACGAATCACAGATGTTTGCTTCGGTGATGGGAACCATGCTTCTGCGAGCACACATGTGCGAGCGTGTGTCTGGGTTGGTGATCAGCTCTTTGGGGTCTGTTCCCAGGGGAGGAGGGGCAGACGGCTAGATCCCCAGAGAGGGGGACAGGTCCGGGTTGGGGGGGGTCACAGAGACACGCACAGGGGCATCGTTTTCATCTCCACTTCTCACCAGCTGAGGCCCAGCCATCCAACGCCTGCTTCTATTAAGCTCGCTGCGGCAAAGGTCATCTGAATAGTCTTGATCTGAAAACAGGGAAGTATTTACTAATGAATGATGGATTCTTCATAGAGTCACATTGTTTCCATTTTTAACTAGCAACAGTGAAGCTCCGTGGGAGATCCGCAGGGCTGCCCCCATGAACCCCCAGCGCCTGGGCTACCCCAGGACCCGGCCCAGCCGCGCCTCCAACAAAGTGCACAGAGGGAAGGGCTGAGCCCAGGTTTCTCACGCCGCATCCATCTTCCTCGGTGCCCATCCAGCCAGGTACCACTGGCTCTAGAACCTTCTCTGGCTCCCTGCCACCTTCCAAACCAAACCAGGCCCTGATGGGGGGAGCTCACAGGCGGCTCCCTGCTCTCCCAGGAGCCTCTGCCCCAGCCGCTCCATGCGCCCTGCAGCCTGGCTTTGCTTCCTCACGTCCTCCGCTCCCGTGGGCCCCACTGCAGCCCACCCAGACCACCACCCTCACCCCACCTTCAATGCCGCCTCCCCAAGGGGTCCCTCCCCCACCCCCCACCAGAGGCCTGACCGCACGGACCCACCAGGCCACCTGCTCTGTCGGCTGGAGGCACAGGCTCCGCCTGGCCCTTGTCATCACTCTCCCTGCTGACCTTGGGCCGGCTCCTGGTCGTGACTGTGGTCCATCCTTCCAAGAATGATGGGAGGTTGGAGCCCCCAGAACTGAGGCCAGAGAACCTGAGCCATCCAATAGGTCTTTGTTGTTAATCTGTTTTATAAACAGTAGTGAGTGTGTGTTGTTAATAATCCCAACTTCCTAATTTATCCCTTTTCCCGTTTAGTGACCACAACTTTGTTTTCTATGTCTATGAATCTACTTCTGTTTTGAAAATAAGTTCATTGTAGATTCAACATATAAGAGATGTCATATGATATTTGTCTTTGTCTGACTCACTCAGTATGATAATCTCTAGGCTCATCCACGTTGCTGCTAATGGCCTTATTTCCCTCTTGTGTATATGTACCACATCTTCTTTACCTATTCATCTGCTGATGGACATTTAAGTCACATCTATGTCCTGGGGCTTCCCTGGGGGCTCAGTGGTAAAGAGTCTGCTGCCAGTGCAGGAGATGAAGGAGATGTGAGTTCCATCCCCGGGTCGGGAAGATCCCCTGGAGGAAGGAACGCCAACCCAGTCCAGTATTATTCCCTGGGCAATCCCATGGACAGAGGAGCCTGGAGGGCGACAATCCACGGGGCCGCATAGAGTCGGACACAACTGAGCGACAAAGCGCAGCTACTGAACAACAGCATGTCTCGCCTGCTGTAAATAGAGCTGCTGTGAGCATCACTGATGTGGTATATCACACTGATTCATAGATACTGAAAAATCCTTGCAACCTTGGAATAAATCTCACTTGATCATAGTGTATGATCCTCTTAACGCACTGTTATACTCAGTTTGCTAGTATTTTGTTGAGGGTTTTTGCATCTTTATTAATCCTTGACATCAACCTAAAACTTTTTGCATGTGATAGCTTTATCTGATTTTGGTATCAGGGTGATGGTGGCCTAATAGAATGAGTTCAGAAGTGTTCCTTCCTCTGTGACTTTTTTTGGAGAAGTTTCAGAAGGCTAAGTGTTAACTCTTCTCTAAATATTTGATAGAATTCACCTGTGAAGCTACCTGGTCCTGGATTCCTGCTTGTTGGGACTTTTTAAATCACTGCTTCAATTTCAGTACTGGTAATTTTCGTGCTCAAATTTTCTATTTCTTCCTGATTCAGTCTCAAGAGAATTTACCTTTCTAAGAGTTTGTCCATTTCTTCAAGGTTGTCCATCTTATTGACCTGTGGTCACTTGCAGTCATCTCTTGTGATTCTTTGTATTTCTGTGGTGCCCATTGTAACTTCTCCTTTTTCATTTCTGATTTTATTCATTTGAGTCCTCTTCCTTTTTTTCTTAATGAGTCTGCTTAGAGGTTTAACCAATTTTATTTGTTTCTTTTGAAGAACCAGCTTTTCATTTCATTGATCTTTCCTATTGCTTTTTTTAGTCTCTGTTTTGCTTATTTCTGCTCTGATCTTTATGACTTATTTTGTCTACTTTAGCTTCTTTGCTCTTCTTTCTCTAGTTGCATTCAGAACATTCTTCGGTGTTGAGCGGACCTCCAGCTCCCCACTGTAGACTGCCTTTGCATCCTGCAGTCTGAGCACCTCTCGTTTTCTCCCCTCCCCTCCATGACCTTCTCTACCCCAGGCTTGAGCCACTGGAGCCCTCTCACAGCCCCCTGACCTCAGGGACTCACAAGGACAGCTTTGGTTGCAGACGACAGACTCTCCACTCAAAGCAGCGTAAGGCTGAGGGGGATTCTTTGTTTCTCTTGACTGGGAAAGATGCTGGTGGGACTGAAGAGAGAGCTGCAGGATTTCAGTTTCAGAAACAGGAACTCAGATTCTGCCTAGTAATTCCTCCTCCAAGCCCACTTCCTCTTATCAAACTCCTATTCATTCCTCAAGACCCACAAGTATTACCTCCTCCAAGAGGCCTCCCAGTAACACCCTAAGCAGAGGCCCCTCCATCCTCTGGGATCTCAGAGATCATGTTTGTGCCTCTTTTATTGTGTTGGGAGTATTTTTTACTACTCGCCCACCTCCTCTAGGAACCTATGGCATCTTCAAGGACACCTGCTCTGTGTTCTCCTCTCTTGCTCCTGTGAGCAGCCCATTCAAGCACACAGTAGGCTTTTAACAAATAGAGGAAATCAGAGTTAGCCTTCAGCCTGTGTCCCTTCACTCTGCCTAGGGCCTGGGGACATAAAGGAGCTTCATATCAAGACTCTGTGGCCTCCTGGGTGGGGGTGGGGGGGCTTGGTTCTTGCTCATGTTATACACGCAGACCGCCCCCTCAATGTTTGCTTACTTGATACACGTCACACTCGTCCTGGATAATTACAGGCTGCCGTGGATCTGTCTCTCCTGCCTTTGGAAGATCCAAAAGCAATTACCACGTGCCTCCCTGTGCTCACAAGACTGGAGTAATCAGGGCTAATGACACAGCACTTACTGTGTGATCGCCCTGCCGCTATGCTCTAATTACCATGTAATTAACTGGTCACCAGTTGCCGCATAAACACGGCTTACACGGATGTGTCTGTGGCCTAAACAGCCCAACACACTCACTTTAATTTCACAGTGTGGACTGGAAAACAGTTGGCTGGCAGACACAGAGAGCCCGGGATGGGAAAACCGTTGAAGGACCCTCAGGAAAGAGCAAGAGGCACTGCCAATATCAGCTCACAGGTGTGGAACAGCGGGCGGGGCAGGCCAGGAAGAGGGTCCGGGGGTCTCCTCACAAGAGCAGCCTGCGCCCCAGCTGAAATCCTCTAAATCTTTCCAGTTCCCTTTTTAAAAATTCATTACAAAAGTTACATGCACTATAAATAGCTTTAAAATATAAGATATAAAAAAGACCCCATAATCCTCAAATAATGACTATTAACATGTTGGTATTATTTATTGTCTCTTTTCCCCCGTGTATCAATACATGTATGCTTTTTCCCAATAAAGATGGCTTATATAATACTGTTTTAAAACTTGCTTTTTCCTATAAAAATGTCAGTATTTTACATGACATTTAATAGTCTTCTGTAACAAAAGCAGTAACAACATAAAACGGTCTGGGCACCACATGCAAACGATTTTATAAACAGTAAAGTGTCCGCCAGGCTCATGGACTGTATCAATATTAGTTTGGCAATGCCTTTCAAATTTTCGATTTAAAGGGAATTCATCTCAGACTTTCCAACAAAATGCCCTAAGGAGGACCTTCTCTTTTCCAGGGAAAAAATTCCTAGTCTGGCGGTTCTATGATACTTGTGTAAGGTCCCCGGCACGCTGGAAGGCAGTGGGGAAGGGGAAGTTCTCTCATGCATCCGGGTACCCTGTGAGCGGGGGTGGCAGGCACCCCAAGGACAAGGCCAGGCAGCAGACCCTCCCTGCACGGCCACCCTGGATGCAGCTAGGCCACGCCCTCTTCTCCACCCTCTCTGCTTCACCAACAAGATGAAGGCACGTAACCGGAAGTCCTCCCGCCCACTGCGTCCCACCTCCATCGCGCTCCGCGGCCTTGGAGTCCTCCGGCCGGGACAGAGCCTCGTTCCCTCGAGCCGTGCACACCACCTCTCTGATCAGGACGGGGGCGCGGGGGGGGGGGTTTCTTCCTGGTCCTCTGTGTCAGCAGAGGCAGAGCCCGCGCTCAGCCCTGGCTTCCTCTGGCCCCCAGGAGCAGGCGCTGTAGGTGATGACATCCTCTTCTGAGGCCCACGTCCCCCCGGTTCTGGGTTCCACACTCCCCTGGGGTCCGCCTGGTCTCCTGCCTGCTCCCCTTGGGCTCCTTCATGAGACCCTCCTCTTCCAGAAAACCGAGCCCCCCACCACCGTTCCAGCCGCACCTACCCGCCGGGGATCCCATATTCTACCCAGCAGCTAAACATCATTTTTCATCCGGTTATATCCGTATTTCTCCCTCCGCCCTCCTCTCCCATCTCAACTACCGACGTGCTCCAGATGGGCTATCTGAAGTCCCCTACCTAAATGAGGAACAGGCATCTACCCGCTGACAGGGTCTAGGGGGTACCATGTGCGCCCCCCAGGGCTCCCCGCATAGCAGGGCAGCTGTCATCCCAACTGCCAGGCGTGCTGGCCGCTGACACCGAGTCCCCTTTGGGAGTTACCCTCACCCAAGACTGCGCCCACCCAGACCACAGGGAACCCTTCCAGGCATCACCCGTCCAAGGCTGGGGTCGTGCTGAGAGTCCACAGGCCCAGAATCTGCCTCCTTGGGCGACGATACGTGGAGAGGGCCGTGGCCCTGCGGAGCTCCCCGTGGGACCGGCCGAAGCACCGCAGCCCCGCCTCCCTGCTCCCTTCTCTCTCCGCCCCACCCCGCCTGTCTCCCTCACAGGTGTTCTTTCTGGGAGAGGCTCTGAGATGCAAATCCGTGGGTGAGGCGTGTTTCCCGGGCAACCAGATCTAGGGCAGTGGGTACCAGGAGGGTACCCGAGGAAGCAGGCTCGAAGGGGAATCTGGATGCGGGTCACCTACTGGCCAGCTGGACGTGAAGGGCCGTCACAGGCCGTGGGTCACACTGCCCTGGCCCCGCAGGCTGTGACGGCCCCGTTGTGAAGATTTTCCTGGTTTGGGAGCCACAGGGATCTCTGCTCACGTGAGTGCGCCTGTGGGCGCGGCAGCTCAGGCATTTGAGCGGTTCGCGGAGGTGGCCCAGCGGGCTGGATCGTGAGCGATCATATGGTGCCTGCCAGGCGCTCCCCAGCTGCCCACCGGGTGCCAGCCCGGCGCTGAGGGCATCTGGGCACGCTGCTTAGTCCTTGGCCTCTCTTCCCAGAGCCCGTCACCTCCCAGCCTGGCACACAGCAGTGCCCCCACTGTTCTCTATCCCCGTGGGTTCTCCACGGCCCAGAGCACGAGTGCCCCCTCCGTGTCCCCCGTCACCGTCTCCTCCGCGTCTCCTCCTCACCCCAGGCAGGCGCACGCCTGCGTGCGTCTGTCCTTTCATCTGAGGCTGCACCCCACTGACCCCCTCAGCCCTCATCTAGAACCTGTCCATGTAGACGACCCCCCACCGCAGCCTCTTGTCAGATCCATGGGCCAGCCCCCTTACAGGGCCCCCGGCCCCTAGAGTGGAGTCCCCACCCCACACACGGGCCCCTCCAGGCTCCTTCCTTGCTGAGGGACCCCTGTGGCCCCCACTCCCAGGCTCCAGGTCAAGGCAGCCCCTGTTTCTTGTTCTCACCCCCACCCCAACGGTTATCCCCCTAGGTTACAGTCACAGCCCTCCCACCTTGAGGTCCTGATCCCTTCTCCTCCGGGCTGTCAGGACCCCCAGAGCAGCAGCCCCTATCTTGGCTGAGATAATGGCCAGGTGTCGACTTGTCTGCCAGCTCTGACTGATGGGGGAGGCCCCCGGAGCCTCGGGTTGAGAAGCATTCTGAGGCGGCCACTGCTGGACCAGCCACATGCGTCGGAGGACGGGGAGAAAGGGCAGAGGCCACAGGGTGCAGGCTCTCGGTGCCTGGGAGCCCCTAGAGTTCACGGGGCAGCCTTACCTCCCTCAGCTCTCCTGCTTCTGCCAAGGGGAGCCTCCAGGCTTGTGGCCGAGTGGGCAGGGCGACGAGTGAACCAGCTCTATGAGGGTGGTCACCCTGCCACGTGGTGGGGCCCCAACTCAGAGTCCACACTTTCCCCTCCCAGGTGATAAGGGGTAAGGGTGTCTCCTGCACCCCTGAGACTATGCTCCCCAGAAACAAGATACCCCCTCTCCAAGAAGCAGCTGAGAGCATCCATCCTGGCCTGGGACAAAGGATCCAGAGCTGGTCCCCTGCACCTCGGGTGAGCCTGTACCCGCCCGACCTCCTCCAAGAGGTCACAGGCCCAGACTCTGGGAGATGGGTGGTCCCATCTCCCAGACCACCCCATACAGGGTCCACCAGGGCTTCCTTTAATGAGCACTTCCGAGGCACTCAGTCCCGAACCTTCGTCTTACAAACAGCAAGGCCAAGAACCAAATGGGAGCCCTAGAGCCATTGTTAGTGGACTTGGGACCCCAGAACAGGCCCGGTGAGCAGGGCGGGCTCCATGTCCAGTGTGGTGTGCAGCCTCCTCCAGCATGCCCAGGGACGTCTATTTCCCTAGCTCACACCTCGTGTGCATGCGCCCAGGTCCTGCTGCCGTGCAAAGCGGTTTCCCATGGACAGTGGCCACCCAAACACCGTGTCAGGAGCCATGAGCACCAGCCTGACGTTCCAGAGCCTGTTTAAAAAGATGACTTATTTTTTAGCTGATGTTCAGCCATTGCCATACCTGTTTAAATACAAGAATTAGCACATCTATCAACAGCACTCAGTTCAGTTCAGTTCAGTCACTCACTCATGTCCGACTCCTTGCAACCCCATGGACTGCAGCAGGCCAGGCCTCCCTGTCCATCACCAACTCCCGGAGTTTACCCAAACTCATGTCCATTGAGTCGGTGATGCCATCCAGCCATCTCATCCTTTGTCATCCCCTTCTCCTCCTGCCTTCAATCTTTCCCAGCATTAGGGTCTTTTCTAATAAGTCAGCTCTTTACATCTGGTGGCCAAAGTATTGGAGCTTCAGTTTTAGCATCAGTCCTTCCAATGAACACCCAGGACTGATCTCCTTTAGGATGGACTGGTTGAATCTCTTGCAGTCCAAGGGACTCTCAAGACTCTTCTCCAACACCACAGTTCAAAAACATCAATTCTTTGGTGTTCAGCTTTCTTTATAGTCCAGTTCTCACATCCACAGATAACTACTGAAAAAACCATAGCTTTGACTAGATAGACCTTTGTTGACAAAGTGATGTCTCTGCTTTTTAATATGCTGTCTAGGTTGGTCATAGCTTTCCTTCCAAGGAGCAAATGTCTTTTAATTTCATGACTGTAGTCACCATCTGCAGTGATTTTGGAGCCCAAAAAAATAAAGTCTGTCACTGTTCCCACTGTTCCCCCATCTATTTGCCATGAAGTGATGGGACCGGATGCCATGATCTTAGTTTTCTGAATGTTAAGTTTTAAACCAACTTCTTCACTCTCCTCTTTCACTTTCATCAAGAGGCTCTTTAGTTCTTCTTCATTTTCTGCCATAAGGGTGGTGTCATCTTCATATCTGAGGTTATTGATATTTCTCCCAGCAATCTTGATTCCAGCTTGTGCTTCATCCAGCCCAGTATTTCTCATGATGTACTCTGCACAGAAGTTAAATAAGCAGGGTGACAATATACAGGATGAGTCATAGGGATCATGGTCTGTGTGGAGCTCTGCCAAGTAATGGAGGGGCTGCGAGACAACCTTGTGCTCCAGGTGGTCCCAGACTTCCAGCACCAGCATCACCAGCCCTGAATCTGCATTTGATAAGATGCCCAGGATATGTGTGTGCAGGTTGGGGGTTGAGAAACACCATCTAGAGGACTCCACTGTGTCTTTACCATGATGAACATCCAAGCAGGTGACCTGGAGCTCACCGAGGTCTGTTTTTCCATGTCTGGGGTTTTCTGCAACCTCCTCTCTCCTTCCCACACCTTCCATCCCCCTGGTTAATAGAAAGCAGTGTGTAGACAGAGTTCATCCACCCAAGGTCTGTCCATCTACTTTTGTGCCTCGTGCCTGGGTCCCCTGCCCCCCAGAACAGACACAGCCTGTGGGGACCACTCTGCTGAGCACGTGGACCACTCTGGCTGGAGAGAGACAGTCTGCACAGAGCCAGGGTCCCTCTGTGCTGTCTGCTCCCACTCTCTTTTCATGAAGTTTCTTCTCTGATTTTCCCGTTTCCTGTCACCTCCCTGGTAGGGGCAGCTAGGATTAAAACCAGCCTGTCTGGGTTTGGCCTGGAGTCATGGTTTCTCCTCCAGTGCACTGCTGCAGCTAAGGGGACAGGTAAGCTGAGGCTCCAGGGAGGGACGTGGGGAGGGAGCGGTGCTCAGGTCCCGCTCTCCATTCACAGAATCACATGGAAACTCAATTTGCCAACCTCAGCTCTCCTTGCTTAGTGACCAGGGGTGTGTTTATTTGTTTTTCTCATCAAAAAAGACCACGCAAGACTTCAAACAACTTACATCCACATATTTGCTTCTATTCTCTGAAAAGCCCAATTAAATGACCAAATAAAGGTAAACTGAAATATAATCTGTAGTAACGACTGGAAACAGAGGAGGATTATGATCAAGGAGAACAAAGACAATAATAAAAATCTGGGGGAAGAGCTGGGAAATATTCCTTAAGGACCTAAGTATTTTTAAAAGTGTTGAAAAATGAATAACTGATTTTTCTTCCAAAAAAAAAAAAACTAAATAGGCTTAAGAGCAGTCTTTAAAAGCAAAGCTGAAGAGAGAATTGGTGAACTAGAAGATAGATAAACAACAAATATCCAAAGTGAACTATGAAGTACAAAGGAAGAAAAATGAAGAGGTACACTATATGGAGATTTGAATGAAAAAAATTAGCACATGTTAAGTTTAAGTGGAGGGGAAGGGAAGGGAAGAGAAGAGAACAAGAGTGGGGCAGAAGCAATATTTGAAAAGATAATGACTGAGAATTTTTCATAACTGACGAAAGACATCAATTGACAGATGATTCACAAAGTTTAGTGAACTCCCAAATAGAGAAAGAAAAAGTAAGTCATACCTAGACATTTCACAATGGAAGTACAGAAAACAAAGACCAAAAAAACTATCTTAAACACAACTGGAAATGGAAATTATTACCTGCAAAAGAGCAACTATTACATGGACAACTGACATCCCAAAGGACACAGTGAAAGTTAGAAGAGAAAGGATTTTTAAGGTGCCTTTAAGCTCCTGGCATCTGGTCCCATCACTCCATGGCAAATAGATAGGGAAACAGTAGAAACAGTGGCTGACTTTATTTTTCTGGACTCCAAAATCACTGCAGATGGTGACTGCAGCCATGAAATTAAAAGATGCTTACTCCTTGAAATGAAAGTTTTGACCAACCCAGACAGCATATTAAAAAGCAGAGACATTACTTTGCCAGCAAAGGTCTGTCTCATCAAGGCTATGGTTTTTCTGGTAGTCATGTATGGATGTGAGAGTTGGACTATAAAGAAAGCTGAGAGCTGAAGAATTGATGCTTTTGAACTGTGCTGTTAGAAAGACTCTTGAGAGTCCCTTGGACTGCAAGGAGTTCAAACCAGTCCATCCTAAAGGAAATCAGTCCTGGCTGTTCATTGGAAGGACTGATGCTGAAGCTGAAGCTCCAATCCTTTGGCCACCTGATGCAAAGAACTGACTTGTTTGAAAAGAACCTGATGTTGGGAAAGGTTGAGGGCAGGAGGAGAAGGGGACGACAGAGGATGAGATGGTTGGATGGCATCACTGACTCAATGGACATGAGTTTGAGTAGGCTCCGGGAGTCGGTGAGGAAAGGGAGGCCTGGTGTGCTGTGGTACATGGGATCGCGTAGAGTCGGACATGACCGAGCAACTGAACCGAACTGAACTGAAGGTACTAAAAGAAAATAACTATCAACCTAGGGTCACATTCTTAGTGAAAAAAAAGCCTTTAAGAATGAAAGCAAAATAATGACTGTACACTCTCAGACAAACTGAGAAAATCCATCACCATAAATCTATTATTAAAGAAAATTGCAACATTTCCCTCAAGAAGAAAGCAATGATTTCAAAGAGAAACCTAGAACTACCCATAGGAATAAAGAGCAAGAAAATTAATAAGTTTGTACATAAATCTAAATAAAAACCGATTAAAATACTAAGGAGAAATTAATGTGGTTTTAGGGTGCCCCTGATGGCTCAGACAGTAAAGAACCCGCCTGTCACGGCACAGGAGACATACGAGACTACAGTTTTGATCCCTGGGCTAGGAAGTTCCCCTGGAGAAGGAAAAGGCAACCCACTCCAGTATTCCTGCCTGGGAAATCCCATGGGCAGAGGGGCCTGGCGAACTACAGTCCATGGGATTGCAAAGAGCCAGACACGACTGGGCAAGTAACGCACACACACGATGTGGTGTTAAATAGAGGGAGAGTTCAGCATATGAGAAGAAAAGCATGTAAGTAAGGGGGTGGGGTGTGAACGAGGAAGGTGAAGTCAAAGACCAGCCTCACCACACGGAGAGGTATGACCGGAGACTGCTGTGCTTCGTGTCCCCAAAGTTCAGTCTATGAAGGCCTAGGTCTTTGTAGGCAAAAAAACAGCAATAACAACAAAAAGCCTAGCAGAAAAATTGCCCCGGTCCTAACCAATGCAGGGGAAATATAGTTCCTGAGAAAGTATACCCATACCAGCCCTCATAGAACTTGCAACCTAAATTCATACCACCTGTATGGCTCATAAAGCCACAAGTTTCTAATCTATTTTAAAATGTTCGTGTACTATAAATTCCCCTGAAAACTGTACCCAAAAGGAGGTATATTATTTCTAGAGGAGTTCATCTTTACCTTAGGCCTCAAAGAATATCCACACAGG